TTGGTGGTCTTAAAATCGATAAAAGTAGGCTTCGGCCGCCACCCGGGCAAAATTCAAAATTTCCTACCAACGAAAAAGTATTAGGTGTGTCCCGCGCGCTCATATGACCTTATGCAGTTGCGAGCGCCGTAAAACCCTATACTAAACAAACAAAACAAACAAACAGTCCACGATGATGAAAAATATATAACTAATGGCTGCATTCATGTTGGTTGTGGTATGAAGTATGAAGAGTCGTGGATGGCATTTTTTATTTTTTTTGGAGATAACGCGACAAGTCACGTGGCTGGTTTTCTGTAAACCGGTGTTTCACATCTGGTCCCAATTAACACCCTGTCTCATTCTTGGTACAGAAACCGCTGTATCTCCGAGATCGTGACTTCTAGAAAGAAAAAAAAAGTCTGCTATATTTCGGACTTAGACAATACAGGCAAAACATCTGTCTGTCGGGGGGGAAATAGTATGCTGTGATCTACACGGTACAGGAAAATGTCTAGTCAAAATTAGTAACCTGTACCTTCTTTAGAACGCAAACTGAACTTACGACCCCTGAACAAATATTGACCACATTATAGGGACTCTCTCTCTCTCCCCCTCCCTTTCCCTCTCTCCAACCCCCTCTCTCCCTCTCTCCAACTCCCTCTCTCCCCTTCATTTAGTTCCAAATTGATTCAAATCGATCGCTCCACAGTGAACCAGAATTACGTTATAATAGACGATCTAGGTTATTATCATGTTATAAGTCTATGACGCACGATCACAATTACTGCTGAACGTACGATACTGAACGCACCATGAGACTAGTGAACGCTACTCCTGACCACAGGTCTGTGAATACTTCCCGTTAGGAGCACCGAGAAGCACCGTGGAGACGAGGACTCAGACCGGGACGGCAGGAAGCGGGTACGAGCAAAGAATGACGCGGGAACAAGTCGTCAGACGTCTGCGGCTTACTTCCAGTCTTCACTTCAAGGCTATTTTATTGCCATCAGTCTTCCTCGCGCCGACAGTACAATGCCAGCTTATGGCCATCATAGTGCGGGGATGACAGAGAAGTGTTCGGGGGCAGAGGCATGTCTTGATGGGTAAGTGATGAACGAAATGGATGCCATAGCGGGGGATACTTTGTGTTTTGTGGCCATGTTTGTTTTCACTTTGTAAGGCGGTGTGGGGAGTGTTAGAAAAGACGGCGGACAAAGAAAAGTCTCCGCGGAAAAAAAAGAAAGAAAAAACAGAAAGCAGTGGGGTTTGCGGGAAGGGGGTGGTGGTGGAAAAGTGGGAAAACGAGTGGGGGGG